TATATAAAATAATATAGTGTTGGATGGTGATTGCAGTGGTTGAGTAGCCTTATATCATTGCTCAATATTTAACTATTTTGGGGTTTCTTTGAATTTTCAACTCTGTGTATCAAGTATCAATCTTTTGTTCTTTTTGGGATGCTTGTCGAGTTAGTGGAAGTTTAAACATGTGAAACTGAACATCTTTCTGCAAAATTTCCCTTGTTTTCTGGTTTCAGATCTGGTTTTCAAGTGGTGGAAAAGGATCCATGTCGACTGCTAACTCGAGTGATGCTTGGAAAGCAGTAGATTCAGTCCTAGATCAGTTTTCTACTGGTTTGCGTGTGCTTGTTGTTGAAAATGATCCAACATGTATTAAAATCTTGGAAAAAGATTCTAAGAACTTGTTCATATGAAGTTACCAAATGCAATCGAGCAGAAACGACAGTGAAAACATTTTGAATAGGTGGAATACTCATCCTCAACTAACGAAGGAAATTGGAAAAGCTCAAACTTTGCGTATGATTCTTGATGAAAGAGATAAGTGTTTCAATACCCATTGATTTACCCGTGTGAAGTTATGAATACACATTTATTAAATCGCCCACAAGTTATCTTGGTTCTAATTAATGGAGTTTCAGCAAGTGATAAAATTTCTCAGACGAAGGAAAATGGGGGTTGTGATTCCAACCTGAAAAATCACGTTGGTGGTGTCTAGGAGAATAAAGGGACAAATCGTGTCATGAGTCCTACGTGTTTGGTAAGAACTTAGCCTTGTCTCCTAGTTTTTATTAGTTTTTGTTTATGGCCCAATAGTGTAAATTATTTCGGTTCAATCCCTAATTTTAGTGATTAATTATTATAGTAACCCCACAAGTATTCAATTATACTAATTGGGTTTACAAATTATTATTTCAATTCTAATAAGCTATCTTTATATCGAGGAAATTATTTGGATACGATTTAGTAATTTTGATGACCTGGATCGTGAGGAAAATATTGGAAGTTGATTTCAAGATCGAGGGCGTTCAAATGGAATTTAATGGTTAATCAGTGTGGCAAAGAAATCGAGGTAATTCATTACTACCTCTTTATGCTTTATGGAACATGTTGATATTGGTAAATACATGAATAAGAAATGTTTGGTCTCATATGTGTAATTAATGAAGTTCTACACTCGATTCGAATACAATAAAAATTTCGGTAACTGAATATGGATCAGATGACTAATATAAGGAATTGAAGAACATTTTGAATTCAATTACAAGTTATGAGATTAAGTGATATAGGAATCAACACTAGATATGAAATTTTATAATTTATCTCATTTGATAAGGTATGGAAATACTTCGATTGGGTAAAATTACGAAATTACCATTATGTTGGAAAATGACAAAAATTGTCTCTGGAAGTTCATTGATAACTCTAAAAGATATATTGATTTGATGAAACTACTTATGTGCATAAGAAATGCTAGTTTTACTTAGGAAATTTGGATAACCGATTTTTAACCTAAGAGGGTTTATACAAGATACTAGAAGTCTATTAAGGAATCATTTCAAAATCAAAGAATGTTCGGGAAAGCGATTAACCATAGGATCTCTAAATTATAGTTATTTTCATTAAGAGTTAATATCTAAATTATCTGGCTATGAAATTACAAAAATACCCTTGAGTGATAAAGTAGTCCGAGTTGACCCTGAATGAGAAAGTACTTTGAGGATTCATTTTTAACTCCATAAATTACTGATTTACTTGTTGAGATCCTATTTTTGTATGGAAATTTTCTGATAATTCGTTAGTAACATATGAGAAGGTATTTAACTCGAAATCTTCGAGTTATGAGTAAATACCTGAAGAATAAATTATCGAGGGTACTCTTCTGTCAGAATTGTTCGTATAGAATGGAATAGATGATAAGTCTGAATTAAATAATAAGATCAGACGGAAGGAACTGATTAAAATACGTGGAATTTGTAAAATGACCAAAATACCCTTGTAATGAAAATAACTTAAGAATATCACCAAGTTTAGGAATGAATAGATATCCTCAAGCTTTGAAATGAATGGAATAAAATTGAGCATCAAAATGACAAAAATACCCTTATGACCTAGAATAAGTAAATGTCTTGGATTAATTAAGAAATGTAAATAAACATGGATGATATGCTACCAGTAAAAGTTATGGAACGCAACTTAAGTGATCATCCAACGCTAGTGTTATATCATTACTTGAATGATATAGGTACCACTTGAATGTTTGTTCGTCTTCTCAAATTTGGATCGATGATAATTCTTGAAGTACTTGGCTCAGCTAAACTCTAAAGCGCATACAGTACTAATAAGTGGGTATTCGTGTGACAAATCAATCACGAATACCAGAATGACTTTATTATATGACTAAATTGAACTGAAAGGAAGTACAACATGTAATTGAAATTCAGAAACGTCTGAAATATTCTGGAAAACTCTAAAGTAACCGAGATAGACTTGCTTACTAAACGAACTAAGTAACCTCAATGACTGAGGATTAATTAGGTGATTGGATTACTTTGGAAACACTGTTGAAATTACATGATGAATTGCCCTTATGGGTTATGAACCATGAATAGAGTGCATACGTATTTCCTGATATCGTTGAAACGTGGAAATGGAATAAAGACCGTTGGAAGATCTATTCAGCGATGATTATGGGGATGATCTATGGATCTGCATTATGGTATTAAAGAGTTAATACACTAGAATGATAATGAATTGACTTGTTGACATGCATCAGTTTGGGAGTTGTGTAACTCAAGTTGTTTGATAATACGATCGATAGTCATAGATTGTAAATGACTTGAATCTTCGATTCTATATTTTCATCTAAAATCACTTCAGTCATGTTTGAAAACGCAAGTAATGCATAAGGAAAAGATTCTGAATACCTCATTTGATTCAATTGGGCTGAAATCCTATGAATTCAAAGTATATTCCTGAATACCCCTGATTGTTTGGGTAATGGAATCACTCGCAGTAAATCTAAATTTAGAATTATTATGTATAAAGGTTCCTGAACGTTTTCCTGATGCACATGGAAACTTAGTGGAATTCTAAAGTAGCAATCTGAAATGTCTGATTAGATCGGTTAGAAATCAATTCTCTTCAATGAGATCTTATTCCTGGAATTCGAACAAATTGCACAAGTTCATGTTATCCATACTGATGACTACAAAATGCCTCTGAAAAATACATGGATCCTCTAGTGTGTTACCTAAGTACTATTTAATTATTTTATCTATTTTGAAATATGGTACATTGAAATCTATGATTTACTGTTTATTGATACACCGACTTACCGGTGATGGTTTATGGACTATGACTAATATATGATTATTGGTTTTCATTGATATATGATAACGATGATTACGGATTTATGGAAATTATGCGTACTGCATAAATTGTATTTTGAAATACTGATTTTGAATGGATTGCATTACAGAGTATAGCTCTGATCAAGATGGTAAACCTTACGGACCTAATGTGACTCTTGGATAGGCTCACGGGCCCCAAGATGTTTCATTAGGTTGGCTCCCTTTGCTGTGTGCTTAGGGTAAGCCCTATGGACTTATGGACTTAAGGATACATGCCCCAAAGCCTATCCTTAGGTTGGCTTCCTTTTTGCTGTGTGCTTAAGGTAAGCCCTATGGACGCAGTTCTGGGAACTACGGATAGTGTACAAGAGAATGGTTTAAACTATGAGTTTCAAAGGTTAAACTTCATTATGATTTTATGAGATTTACTGAACTGTCATTTGATAAATGTACCTATTATGATTTTATTGTACTCTTGGAACACACTAGACATTCTATTCGATTTCCTGAAAATGTGATACTATGAATGCTTCCTATGAACAGAGATATTCATGGCTTCTATTCGTCGAACTACCATTGGAACTACAGATTATTCCTTAAACCGATATACGCTTGATTAAATAAGAGATGATATGGCTTTCCATTTATTGACATGTCTTGCAGAATCATCTGGTTGTTCTGTATTACTGAGCTTTTCGAAGCTCGCTCTATTACTCACCATTGCAATTAAAAGAATTGTACCCGTACCACTATCAACATCAGTAAGGGAGTTCTTCCGGCGTTACTTGCAGAGTACGGTACATGTGATTAGGGGGCATGTAGATTGTATTTCATTGTATATCTGAGTTTGAAAAACATGTTTTATTTCTGAATAATAATAAATCATTTTATGATTTGACATGTTTTAAGAAAAGTTTTAAAATTTTCGCTATTTTTACGGTGGTCACTTCGGTGGCCCTAATATGACACTCCAGATCGGATCGGGCTATCAGCATCGGTCTGAGGGGGTTATAGGTGTTAATGGCTGGAGGACTAAAATCGAATAGATCGGTAATATTAGGGACTAAAATCAAATGGATAGATAACGATGGAGACCATGTACCCTTAATTTTCAAATTGGTGACCAAAGTCGGTCAGACAAAAAACAAAGAGGACTATTCATATAGTTTAGCCATAGAAAAATTTAAAGTTTAGTAACCAAAACAAGAGTGAAACTAAGGTTGAGTAAAAAATGTAATTTAACCAATAACCGTGCAATTATTGATAGTGTAGGTGAAATAAGTGCACGTGCTTAGATGGAGTTGATTGGAGCATGAACTAGGAAGCGCACAGTTGAATAAAAACTTGTGGAGAGTGAAAGAAAGAAAGATGGCGGGAGCAGCACAGCCTCAAAAACGGCAGAGCGGGCGGTTACTTCAACCATCGGGCAAAGGTCCTCGCCCTGCCCCTGGCTTTGAGCCCGTTGATCACGAAAAGGTCGGCCTCACTTTACCACAGCTCTTACTACATTTCCTAGCTTAATATGATGATGCCATCTTCAAGCTCATCTATTCTAGCCTTCTGGGGATGCTTCTTGTGAGAAAGGGGCCATCAATGGTAAGGTGAGCATGAACAAGAGATGAGCAGGAAGCTATGTAAAGCTTTAGAGATGAATGAATATTGAATCTATTAACATATGCAGAATACTGATAACATAAAGTGTATTATTTGCAATACATCAGCTGGCATTATATACACACTTGCACAGCTAACAAAGCTGTAACTGCTCAGCAATTCTAACCGCCTTAACAACTTGAAACTAACAGCCTAACAGATTACTAACACTGTCAACTGCCTCACACATTCATTCATACTCTCATTACACTTAACATACACTAATAGTCTAATATTCTCTCTGCTTTCTCAACCTTCTTGATGAAAAAATATGAACACTTGAATCGAAAGTGCGACGCCTTCTTCCGTTCGTCTTGAATCGAAAGTGCCGATGTTTCCTTCCGTTCGACTTGAATCAGAAGTGCCAATGCTTCATTTCGTTCGACTTGAATCGAAAGTGACGTTGCTTCCTTCCGTTCGACTTGAATCGGAAGTGTCATTGCTTCTTTCTGTTCGACTTGAATCGAAAGTGTCGTTACTTCCTTCCGTTCGACTTGAATCGGAAGTGTCGATGAAATCACAAACGTCTGATTTATCTTTGGACTTAGATTCGTCGGATGAGATCACGGAGGAACACCAAATATCATCTTCTTTAAAATCAATACTCTCTTCCTTAACAGGGACATCATTATATCCGTAAGTTGTCATGTTATTGTGACCATCAGTCATGGACTCTACATAAAAATCCAGATAAAGATGGTTGAACGGATTTTGTAAGTATATTATATCAACATTTGATAGAAGGACGCTATAACCCAGTTGCAAAAACTCCCTTAAGATGTGGAACTTCAACCCAGAGCCTCTTGTTCTCCCAACGGCATCAATACCTGCATCCGGATCCCTCTTGTACACTGGGACATCATTTGATTTGCAGAATTCTTCAATATTGTCATCTAAAGCTATAACTAGGTAATTCGGTATACCAACTCTTTTGATGCTAGAAACTTGAACCTCCAACATCTCTTTCACATTTGAATTTGCAAGCACAACTATAATCTCTTTCTGAACAACAACTTTCTCCAATATCACAGTCAATCTTGGGTTCAGCGATTCATCAGGGACAACAGTCGGGTTAGTCCGCAAAGCTTTGACAGTACCACAAGGTCCAGCTTTTTGCTGCTCACCCAAAACTAGAAATTGCTTTTGGGCATTATCTTTTCCTTGTTTGGCCAGTTGTAGATTCTCTTTCATATTCCTGACATGCTTCTTTAATTCGGAATTCTTCTCTAATAGTGATACGATTTCAGACTTCAGCACTTACTCCTATCCTAGGATTCACACGACGAAGAATCAATCTGGAAACTTGATTTGCCAATTTGATGGTTTTGAATGGAGGCAGTGAGATTGATGAGGTCGTGAGGGAAAAAGAAAGCGATGAGACAGAAAAGAAGAACTCCGATCACAATGGCTATGGCGATTCGAGATCCATGAAACGACTGCGCTTTGTCCCTGCGATGAAGTCTACAGTAGCTACATCTTGAGAAAAAAAAACTCAATCATCGGCGCAACAATAGAAGAGTAAACGACGCCAGGATCTTTTAGCGAATGATACCATGTGAGAAAGGGGCCATTAATGGCAAGGTGAGCATGAAGAAGAGATGAGCAGGAAGCTATGTAAAGCTTTAGAAATGAATGAATATTGAATCTATTAACATATGCAAAATACTGATAACATAAAGTGTATTATTTGCAATACATCAGCTGGCATTATATACACACTTGCACAGCTAACAAAGCTGTAACTGCTCAGCAGTTCTAACCACCTTAACAACTTGAAGCTAACAGCCTAACAGATTACTAACACTGTCAACTGCCTCACGCATTCATTCATACTCTCATCACACTTAACATACACTAATAGTCTAATATTCTCTCTGCTTTCTCAACCTTCTTGATGAAAAAAGATGAACACTTGAATTGAAAGTGCGACGCCTTCTTCCGTTCGTCTTGAATCGAAAGTTTCGATGCTTCCTTCCGCTCGACTTGAATCGGAAGTGCCGATGCTTCATTTCGTTCGACTTGAATCGAAAGTGACGTTGCTTCCTTCCGTTCAACTTGAATTGGAAGTGTCGTTGCTTCTTTCCGTTCTTCTTGAATCAAAAGTGCCAATGCTTCCTTCCGTTCACTTTGAATTGAAAGTGATGATGCTTCATTTCGTTCTTCTTATTCACCTTCATTTCTTTATTCTTCACCCTCTTTTACAAGGTTTCTTGACATATTTTTTATGGACTCTTGGCTGTGAAACTTTCAAGTTCCATGATACTTTGAGATAGAAGCAACAAAAGCAACAAAATGAATACAAAATTAAACACACAAAAGAATTATACTACTATGTAGAAATAGCGGTGCAATAAGATAAAAATCTAGCTTTGTCCACTGGAACACCCATTGCACGATAAGCCAAGTGTCTGCCATCAGGGAGCTGGATTCGGCTTGCGCTAAGAGGATGAACAAGTACTTTCTTTACTGGTGGTGCCGATATATCATGCGCACCATTCAAATTTAGAGATGAAAGTTAAAGGATAAAAACAAAGAAGATAACAGGCCAAGCGTGAATAGGATCATGTTCTTGAGGTAAGAACTCATTCAAGAAATTCAACCGACTGGAGATCTTAGCCACGGGTCCACCAAGCTTCTGAACTATAAACGAATCCTCAGTAACTTTCGATTCCAAAAATTCCTTCACTTGTTCCGTTTGCAGCAAAACATCTCTACATCCTCTTCCAAGCTCTAGAATCATCTCGCACCACGATTTTAACAATTCCTTCACTTGTTCCTTCAAGGCCTCCAGCGGTTCTATTTCATGATCACTCTCAGCAACCGACGTCGGTTTCTGATCAGTGAACGGCGGTAACGCCGGGAAAATTATTTCCTCAATGTATATTATCCTCAGATCTTCCACCAAACTCGCCAGCTCCTCCCGCCACGCGTCCAATCCTCTTACTTCTACAATGAAATCGAAAACCTTCTCCAAGAATTCAACAGAATACGCTGGATCCAAGCTGGTAGTGAACGACACCGGTTTAGCAGCCGTTGCCACTGCCGAAGATGCCGATGGCATTTTCTCCTCCTCTTCCATGCAGCGGAAGAAAACAAAATAAAGTCAGCAAGCCATAACAGTTTCAGCGGAAGAAAAATGAACCATGATCTTTTTGGCGAATGATACCATATTGGAATATTGCAGGACTTGTTTCAAGATGCAAGGAAAGAGTTCTTTAATTCATTGTTTCGTTCACAAGAAGTCTCCTCAACACAGTATACAATACTGTTTTTATACACAGCCTTAGCAACACAGAAAACCTCCTAACTGACTAACAAGCTCATAACAACCTAGCTTCAAGACTAACTTCTAGAACCTGGACATGCATGAGCTGCATGCATATGCATGACATTACACAAGCACACTCTTTATCCACGTGAGCCTGCATCATTCTCTCAACACTTCTGAATTCTGATCCATGTAGTGTCAATTTGCCAATGTCATTACCTTTGCTATCTTGCCTGTAATTGCCAATCATTTTTATTTTCCACAGCCCTTAGAAACTTATATTGATGGTTAAGTTGTATAGTTTATGTACCACACTTATAATCGTTCCTTAACGACTTTAAAATCACATCGCATAATATTATTATACACGGAATTTAGATTATAAACATATAATTATGTAATTATTTCAAATTATTTAAAAATAAAAGTCATCAAAATTGAATTGTTTTCATTGTTAAAACCGAAATGACTGAATTAATATTTTTTTTTCAATTTGATCTTTTGAGATTATGACCATATATTACCTTATAATCCCTAAATTATTAAAAAAATAATTTGTATTTATAAATGAAAAATTATAAATGAAAAATTACAAGTTTATCAAATTAATGAGATATATCTAATTAGCTAAATTATTTGAGTATTTGGATATTTGGATTCGGTTATTTCATATATAGTATATTTAAAATAAATAGTTAAATTAATTATTTGGGTAATATTTTAATTTTTGAGTTGGATTTATATTTTCAGTTTAGTTGGATTAGGTTTGATGGGCATTGGGTACTGGTTACTCGAATGGCTTATAAAAAAATAAATACTAATATATATATTCATGTTGTATTTAAATTATTTTTTTTATCAAAATGAGTATTTAAAATATATTAAAATTTTCGTTTAGATCAAGGTTTCCTTTTGTTAATGTATGTAAAGTATTTCATAATCAAAGTTATATGTCAGATTTTAAGAATTAAGACCATGTACCCTTAATTTTCAAATTGGTGACCAAAGTCGGTCAGACAAAAAATAAAGAGGACTATTCGCATAGTTTAGCCATAGAAAAATTTAAAGTTTAGTAACCAAAACAAGAGTGAAACTAAGGTTGAGTAAAAAATGTAATTTAACCAATAACCGTGCAATTATTGATAGTGTCTGTAACACCCCAATTTAGGGGCTAAATTTAAAAAATTATAAATTGGTGGATTTAATTGGTATTTTGAAAGAAACGGTGGATTAAATTAAAAAATTTCAAAGTTGGCAGACCGTTTTAAGAAGTGCAGGAAATTCAGTGGCTAAACCTAAGATTAACTATTTTTTATATGATGAGTTATAAAACTCTCCCCGTGCGCAGTTCAACATAAATTTCTCAATTTTTCCTCTCCGATCAACCAACTTTCAACTCCGATCTACTCGACGTCCGACCTCCGATCGACAAGAAGAAACCACCATCGTGTTCGTTGTCAACCGAGGAACAAAACCCCTCACACCTTTCGTCGTGAATCGTCGTCGTTCGTCGTTAATTTCAGTCAGAAGTATCGTCAGTAATAACTCAATTTCAATTGGTTTTTTGCCAATTCACGACGATCCGATGATCTGTTTACGACACCGCTCGCACCATCGTGTTCCTTGCATCGTTCCGAGTCTACCGGTGTCATCCTTGGTCTCCGTCGACGGCGATGCGTGAGGAGGTGAAGTGGTCAAAGTTTCCGATTCGTTGAAATCGAGCTCTCTGCCGTTCAAAATTGTGAACCGAGTTTTGTAAGCATCTCGAAATCGCTCAAAATAATTTTTAGGATTTTTTCCGGGAATTTAGCACTGTTCACGCGCCCCCACGCGCCGCCACTGCGCGTGGGGAAGGAAAAAGTGACCAGTTTTAGAACTATTTTGACCAGTTTGAACGGTCACAACCCGACCCGACTCATTAACCCGACCCGTTGACCGACGTTGACCACTGTTGACCAAAACTTTGACTGGCTTTGACCGGGCAATAAACGACCTTTGACTTTAACCGAGTATACCTATCCTGACATTTTTCGACATTCCAAATCTGATTATTCAGTCCGTTTTTTGAAATTCGGATCCAAGGCCTCAAAAATTCGAAGCCGATAAGTTGTTTTTTCACTGATTTATCATCCGATTCGATCCATTTTTCAGAATTAAGCTCCGTTTCTGATATAATTTTTGTTGATATTGTTCCGAGGATATATTGGAAGATTATTTCAAGATCGAGGGCGTTCGAATGGAATTTTATGGTCGATCAGTATTGCACGAAAATTGAGGTAATACTTTACTACCTCTTTATGCTTTATAGAACATGTTGGTATTGGTAAATGCATGAATGGAAATGTTTGGTCTCATATGTGTAATTAATGAAGATCTACACTAGATACGAATACGGTAGAAAGTAGGTAAATGAATATGGCTTAGATGACTATTATAAGAAATTGGAGGACAGTTGGAATTAAATTACAAGTTCTTGAATTAAGTGATAAAAGAATCAGCCATGTATATGTAGATTATAATTTATCTCATTAAAGGTACTTAGATGATAAATTATGAGAATATTTCGATTAGGTAAAATTATGAAATTACCCTTATGTTGGAAAATGACAAGATTTATCCCTGGAAATGGATTAATAAATCTGAAAAGAATTATTGATCTGCTAAAACTATTGATGTGCATAAGAAATGTTAGTTTTACTTGGAAATTATGGATAACCAGTTTTTACCCCAAGAAGGTTTATGCTAGATACTAGAAGTCTTTTAAGGAATCATTTCAAGATCAAAGAATGTTCGAGGAAGCAGTTAATCATATGATCTCTATTTTATATTATTTTCGTTAAGAGCTAATATCGAAATTATCTAGTTAAGAAATTACGAAAATGCCCTTGAGAGGTAAAATAGTTTGAGTTGACCCTGAATGAGAAAATACTTTGAGGATTCATACTTAACTCGATTAGGTACGGATTTGATTGTTAAGATCCTGACTTAGTTCAGGAAAATTCCTGATTTTCCGTTTGTAAAATCTGAGAAGACACTTGACCCAGAAATATCCGAGTTATGAGTAAATACCTGAAGAATAATTTATCGGGGTGTTCTGTTGTTATAATTGTTCGAAATGACTGAAGTAAATGATAAGTTTGAATTTAATAATAATATCAGATAGAAGGAAATGATTGTAATACAATGGATCTGTAAAATAACCAAAATACCCCTGGTATGGAAATGACCAAGAATATCACCAAGCTCAGGAATGGTTGGATATCCTCGAGCTCTAAAATGAATAGAATAAAACTGAACACCAAAATTACCAAAATAACCTTATGGCCTAAACTAAGTAAATGTATTGGATTAATTAAGGAATCCAAATAAGCATAGGTGTTGGACTACCTTTAAAAGTAATAGAACATAATTTAAGTGAGTAGATCAACCCTAAAGCTATATCAATACATGGATGGTATAGATATTACTTGAATGCGTGTTCGTCTTCTCAAGTTTGGCTCGATGATAAATTTTGGAAGTATATAGCTCAGCTCAACTCTAGATCGTATTCAGTACTAATTATTGGACGTTTGTTTGACAAATTAACCACGAAGACCAAATTGAATGGAACAGAAGTACAACATGTATTTGAAATTCAGTGACGTTTGAATTACTATGGAAAATCCCGAAGTAACCGGAATGGGCTTGAATACTAAATAAACTAAGTAATCTCAAGGACCGAGGATTAAATAATTAATTTGGGTGAGTCTGGGAATGCTAATGAACTTACATGATGTATTGTACTTCTGGGTCATGAACTACAAATCAAGCATGTCAGTATTTAATGATATAGTGGAAGCGTGAACATGAAATAAAGACATTAGAAGATCTATTCAACATTGATTCCGAAGATGATATATGGACAAGAATTTATGGTATTAAAGAGTAAATATCCTGAAAGTACAATCAATTGACAAATCGACAAGCATTAGTTCTAGGAACTATTCACCTAAGAGTTGTTTGATAATCAAATCAAACGCCATATTTTGTAAAAAGGTTTCTGAACACTTTCCTAATGCACATAAATCATATCGAAATTCTAAAGTATCAACCTTAAATGTCAGATTAGATTGGTTAGCAATCGATTCCCTTTAGTATGACCTCATTGTAGATTCTGGTCAAATTACATCAGTTTCATGTTATCTATTCTGATAACTACTAAGTGTCTCTGAGAAATACTTGGATATCCTAGTGTGTTCTACATGTACCACATGACGATTTTATATGTTTTTAAATGAGTTTCACCAAAATTATGTATTTGCTGGTTTATGATCCATGGCAACATGTTATATGTTTCCCGATTACGGGTTTTATCGAAAAATATGAAATATTCCTGATTTATGACATCATGAAATCTACTGGTTTTATGAACTATATTTACTTGAAAAATGTTATCGGGTTTCCTATTTTCATTGGAAAATATGATCTTGATAAATCACATATTGAATATATTTATGATACAATACCCGATGTTCTGAATACAATTTATTTTGATATATGATTTACCACATATTTTTATATGGGGTTACAATATTTTTGTACATGATTTCTAAATATGGAACATTTTTATATTTTAATGGATTAATTACCATTACAGCAGGTCCCTTTGCTGTGTGCAAGGGTAAGCCTTACAGTTCCCCCAGGTTCTTTTTGCTGTGTGCAAGGGTAAGCCTTACAGTTCCCCCAGGTCCCTTTGCTGTGTGCAAGGATATGACTTACATTTTCCCCCAGGTCCCTTTGTTGTGTGCAAGGGTAAGCCTTACAGTTTCCCC